GAAAAGCATTTGAGGCCAAATTGTAGAGTGCCTCCAATGCCAGAACTTTTTTTGTACAGATAATGGGAAGAGAGGATTAAAATGATGTTTTAGGATGATGAGGCCTCAAGATCTCCCATCGCCCATGTTCCTCTTACAATGTACCATTGATGATTTCCATTGAGAGGTTCTATGTTCCCTTGCCCTGAATCTGGGTGAGTCTGTGACTAAAATGGAAATGACAGTGTGTGACTTCTGAGGGTAGGTCATAAATGGTGATATAGTTCTGTCTTGTCCTCTTACAATGGTCGTTCTTAGAACGCAGGCACTATGCTGTGAGGAAGCAAAGAACACATGGAGAGGTGTTTGGTCGACAGCCCAGTTGAAGTCCCAGCATCACCTGCCACATATGTGAGAGAAGATTCCTCCACACGATTCTAGTCCTCTAGTGCTTGAGTCTGCACTGGGCATCAAGTGTCTCTCAGCCTTCAGGTCTTCCCAGCTGAGGCCCCAGCCATTGTGGAGTAGAAACAAGTTGTCTCAGGGCCTACCTGAATTCATGACTCTCAGGAACCATGAGATAATAAAATGTTTGAAGTTTTAAGCCACTAGGTTTTTGGTTAAATTGTCACACAGCAATATATGTAATCAGAATTTTTATCTGCCTCTAATAAGGAGGATTTAGGTTGGGGAGACTAAGGATAAGAAGACCAGAAAGTAAAGCTCTACTGTAGTCTAAAAAGGATAAAAGCCTGGACAGGAAAAGATACTTGTAAGAGCAAAGAGTCTTTCACACACATATATTATTGATTCCTAAGTGTAGAACTGGGTTTTCTCCTCATTGGTTGAAAAGACAAGAACCTGGCACTTGTAGAAGTGTGTTCATTCTTGCAGTTCATTCAATAGACCTTTATTAAGGGTCTGCTGGGGGCCTGGCAGTGTTAATTCCTGAAGGTAATATGAAATAAATATTTTTCATTTTATGCCATTATATTAGGGTTCTCCAGAGAAAAGAGAACCAATAGGATTTATAGATAATATACAGCTGACCCTTGAACAATTAGGGGATTAGGAGCCCCATCCTCCCCATGCAGTCAAAATTTCACGTATGACTTCTGACTCCCCAAAAACCTGAGTACTAATAGTCTACTGTTGACTGGAAGCCTTACCAATAACACAATCTATTAACACATTTTGTATACGTGTTATATACTGTATTCTCAAAGTAAGCTACAGAAAAAATGTTAAGAAATTCAAAAGGAAGAGAAAATACATTTACAGTATTTACTGAAAAAAATCTGTGTACAATGGACCTACACAGTTCAAACCTGTGTTGTTCAAGGGCCAACTATAGATATATAGGTATAAATAGATATATAGGAGGGGACTTATTATGGGAATTGTTTCACATGATTATAGAGGCTGAGAAGTCCCACAATATGATATCCGCAAGCTAGAGAACCAGGAAAGCCATTGGTATAATTCAGTCTGTGTCCAAAAGCCTGAGAACCAGGGGGAGCTGATGGTGTAACTCAGTCTGAGGCCCAAGGCCTGAGAATCTGCAGGCCACTGGTGTAAGTCCTAGAGTCCAAAGGCCGAGAACCTGGAGTTCTAATGTTTGAGGGCAGAAGATGGATGTCCTAGCTCCAGAAGAGTGAATTCATCCTAACTCTGCCTTTTTGTTCTATCCAGGCTCTCAACAGACTGGATGATGCTTACCTACATTGGTGAGGGCGGATCTTCTTTCCTCAGTCCACTGATTTAAATGCCAGTCTCTCCCAGAAACACCCTCACAGACATATCCAGAAATAATGTTTTACCAGCTCTCTGAGTATCCCTTAGTTCAGTCAAACTGACACCTAAAATTAACCATCACAACCACTAAAGAGTTTATAAACTACATGGAACTGACGGATTGGAGTGAAATATCAATGCAAGACAGCATGTATTTAAATACTGAAATAGTGGTTGGCAGTCTTTACATTGGGAATTCAGTGAAGGAAAACTCACGTTAGCAGGAGCAATCGAGAGGGAATTCATATTTTCATCATATGATCAACTCTGGTCTTGGAGTGAAACCCAAGTTTT